AGCGAGACCTCATCATACACATACATTCAAAAGTAAATAAAAGATCAGCCTGAAAGCTAATATTATGTTACCTTTGCTTTGCTGTAACTCTTCATTTTGTTTTCTACATCATTTAAGAGACTAATGCATTTTTTAAATTACTAGCTTATGTTTAGGGGCACAAAAATGTATAAGGATAGGATTCTATGACATCAACACTTGAAAGCGATGGGGATGGAGCTATGAAGAAGCAGAATTCATGTACGGTATTGGTGCTATACTGGCATAAATAAAAATTTGCGTTATACCTTTAGGAGATTAAATGTAATGGCCATGATAACCACAAAGTAAGGTATAGAATATACACATAAGAAAGGAATTTAAACATTTCTCTCCAACAAAAATCAACTAAACACAATAAAAGACAGTAATACAAGAAATGAGGGACAAAAAAGCTCTAAGATATATGGAAAACAAGTAGCAAAATAACAGAAAATCTTTCCTTAATTCCTTTTTTTGTTTTTTTGGTACTGAGGATCGAACTCTGGACCTTCTGCTTGTGAGGAAGGCGGCAGCACCACTGAGCTAAATCCCCGGTCCTAAAAGACATATATGTGCAAATAGCTAATTGTATGATACCTGTATTTTATCACTGTACCAAAAAGTTGAATAGCAAAGTCAAAACTGACCCGGGATGGGGGACATAACCAAGTGGCACAGCCCTCGCCTACCACGCGGGAGGCCCCGGGTTACATCCCTGGCACTGATTAAAAAGAAAAAGACAAAAACACCTAACCCAAAAATCTTATAACTTTTAAACCACTGTTTTTTCCATGAAATCATCACCTATTTTCAGAAAATTCTTGGCCATGTGTTTTATTTAATAACTCATTTTTTACCTCATTAAGGTGGTTTCACAGGAAAATCTATAAGAAAAATTAAGTGAAATTAAATATGAAAGTTAAGAAGGAATACTAAATCTAAATAGTAAGCTTTCAAAACTTGACCTAGTTAGAAGTAGAGACAAGAGCACAACACGACAAACTTGTAACTACATAAAATTATCAGTACACACTTATCTCCCATTTAACATGAATTATCGCTTATTCCTGCCAGCCCTAAGGAGTAAGGAAATAAATCAGAACACATCTAGATTATTTTCTATAGATTACTATTCCATGACAACTGTTTCACTAGCAAGATAGCGCCACCATTCCCTTGTACACTTATCATAAACATGTTTTCTTATTCTCAATTATTCACTTTTAATGTTTTAAAAAATAATCTCAGATCTCTGGCACTACAAATGAGATAGTCAATTCTTCTAACAACTTGTAAACCTTCATAAAGGAAAACAATCCTTTTGACCTATAAGAAGAAGTGTGAAGCTGTTTAGAATTTTTTATGCTTAAAATTACTTCGTTATTTTGTTTTTAGAAAATAAAACATTTAAATTTAAGCTCCTACAAACTCTAGCCAAATTCCCTAGTTTCCAAGGCATTGGAAAACAAAGCAATGAAAGTAATAAAGTGTTTTGATTTCTAAGCATATCGTGCTTTTTCAATCACAATTTACTTGGTATAAAGCAAACTGCAACAAAACAAAAAAAGTATAAAGGTATCTTTTAAAAAGGCCTATACCACACTAACAACAGACAAGCTATTAAACCTAACTAGAGAATGTTTCCTTTATTTGTACCCAAGACACCACATGCAATAAAAAGCACTAAATGTCTGAAACAAGCTTCACTTATTCTGCAAATTAGGTCCCTTAAAACGTGAAAGGTCTTCAAGCTCAGTTATTCACCAACTCCATTTCTCATCAAGAGAGCAAATGCATTTTTTTAGGTAGAAGCGCTCATCTGTGGAAACTTCCTAATTAACTTGGTGCGAACCAAGTGCACGATGGCAGATTTCCACACTGCTTCGGCATTTTAATTGGCAGAAACTGCTTAGCGGCCTATTCACAGACAAACACACACCCCCCCACCCCCCAGTAATTAAGCGAGGGTCAACCCTTGACTGACGAGCCAATCCCAGGAAACAATGGGTTTCCATCACACACAGTACACAGCATATTTGGTTTACAGCGCTCTTTGAGCAACGTTAATGAGGTAGTGGCTCTGTCACTATGGGAGATTTATATAGTACAAGTTAACCTTTCTTAATGGTGCAGCAGTCATTAAAAATAATTACTAGCAGGGCATTCTTGCTAACAATTATTAGCATCTATCAAGGCATAATTAATTCAAGCTGCATTTCTGACTCTGCTAATAACCACCTGCAGGCCACTAATCAATATTCACTATTAGTAACGTACTTGTTTTCAAAACTAGTACAATTTCCTCTCAGGCTTTTCCGAGTGAATACTTATAACTTTCAATCTTACAATGTTACAGGTCTGTCAACAGCATCTAAGCCTCCTTTTCCTCACCCAATGGAAAATAAAAGTGCTCACCTCGTGGGCTTAATAAAGGAGCCAGGTGCAGCGGTGTGCACATCACATGCAATCTCAGTTCTTGGGAGGCTGAGGCAGGAGGATTACCTGAGCCCATGAGTTTGACACCAGCCTGGACAAATCAGCAATATCCCATCCCAAAAATGAACAAATGAATAAACGGATACAGGAAATAGCCTTGGCCTTGTAAAGGTGTTTAGTTCAGCATGTTTTAAGGTTCCTCTAAGTACAGCCTAGTATAATTAAATTACATACTCTAAGGTTATTTTCCTATTAAAAAATTAACCAAAATGTAAATGTAGGTGCCTAGGAAATTCAACCTTAAATATGCAATGTATTCTCTTTCAAGCTTTAAGACTATTTCTACCCTGATAAAATTCTTCCACTCTGGAATCTGATATTCCTAAACATACCCATTTTATTCTTACACTATGAAACATTAAAAAAAACTCTGTCCTTTCAATCTTTCACCTTGTGAAATACAGTTTTCAGTTTAGATTCATGTGTAGCATTTTAGTTACTCTGGTTAGTGCCCTCTAGGGCCACTACTTTTGAGGCAACAGCAGCAGAACTGTGTTCATCATTCTAAATTCAGGGCGACTCCATCAACAGTTTCGAATATGGTGAAGCAGTTCATGGAAACCCAACTTGTTCTGAAGGCATTTTACTACCGAGGTCAGCAATAATGGCGATGGAAGCTCACTAACTGCATCTCAACAAGCACCCTTCCTGGATTATAACTGGAGGCTTGGAAACTGCTATTCAGCAGCTTACTCACTTGATCAAGTGTGAGTCGTTACTTTACATCTAAAGCTGTCATTACCTATGGCACTAGGGATAAAGAGACGAAAGCTCCAGTCACTACCTTAAAGCAAATAAGTCCAACCAAAACACGCTAAGCCAGTTGTTAAAGAGTCCCCAAGGTCAAGGAAGGAAAGCTGAAGGGCAGGACAGCAGTACATCAAGCCAGAGGGGCTGCTGCCTGAGCTGCATCGAGAGGCAGAGAAGAATGCCAGCAAAGGTATCATCCAGGGCATAGCTGAGGACAGGAGAGAGAAATGAAGGTGAGGGTGGGACAGCAGAGAGCAGGTGTCACATACGGAAGGCAGGCCCATGGCCACGCGCAGGACTGAACTTTGAACCGTACGGTAGCTCAATGCAGGAGAAGCAGCTGCCATAGGCACATGACATCCGGCAAGCTCTCGTGGGATTCAAAGGAAAACGCTAGCAGGACAGCAAGAAGCACCACGTAGAGTGGTCAGAAGCCAGGCTCACAAGGCCATGCCGGATCTAACCACATGGAGAAGAGGAGGGCAAGAGGTTTCACCACACAAGCCTCGTGGTCTGCGGGCTCTGCCTCTCGGTGGGTGAGGGAACTGGGTGCAAGTTCCTGAACTTCTTCATGCCTCACTTTCCTTATCTACTAAAAAAGTCACAAAACATCAGGGTTATTCCTGAAATTTAGTGAGAAAAAATGCATGTAAACCAAGCAGTACACGGAGAGGAAAATGGTCAACTCCACAGGCTGGAATTCCAGCAATGCCACCTCCTACCTCTGCAAGGTGGGGGCTACAAGGGAGAGCAGCACCACCCGCCTCCCAAGATGTGGGACAGGGATGTGGCTGAGTTTAACACAGAGCCTGCAAGGTGTATTTGTCAAGTAAATAAAATAAAAATGATGCATTAACTAAACATTAGCTGTCACCAACTTTTACGCCAGAGAACCACATTCACATTTTAGAAAGATAAATCTCATTTAAGGGCTATGGTTGTCTTGCAACGAGAACACAGGCAGGGAGGGTAATGAAGTTTTCTGAAAATCCAAAACTAAGTAAGTGAAGTTATGACGGAGTGGGTGGAGTTAGAAGGACTTTAAGAGACAGACTCAACTGGACTTCAGAGCCTGTTATACAAGGAAGGAAAAGAGAAAAAGAAGAAGAAAGTAGAAGACTCCAGATCCTATCAGAAGAATGAGCTGGAATGGCCTGTGATACTTGGTAAGAGGTGCAAAGTCTTGTGCAGAGAAGTTTTGAAACATGATGAGGAGGAGCCTGTGGGAAAGGCCCAGAGCGTGCGCAGGGCACAAGCGGACCCTCACGGAAGCTGCCCAGGGAAAGCAAGGCGAGTGCACGCCAGCCAGCGGGCTTCTGAGACGACCCTGGGGTTCAACTACACTCACCCCCTTTCATTCTTTAAGCATTTCATCACCTTTGCTTTTCACACAAGGCCCCTAACCCTGCTAAAGATCAAATCATCATCACACCAAATAACTTCAATCAGGGCCCACTCTTTCCATTCGCTCACCAAGAAGGGTCCAGTCAGGAAGCTTCTTTCCCTCTAAACCAGCTCCCCATCCACAGCAAGGCACGCCACCACGCCACACGAGATAACCGAGCGCACTGTGCGCTTCCTGTCTTCCCCAGAGTTATCGAACCCAGGTTAAGGCATATTAGGGTTTTAACCCAGACGAAAGCCAACCCCTTGGAACTGCTTTCTAACTGAAGGATAGTTTAAAAGATAAGTGCAGGTACTACAGTGCTTTAAGGAACAAATTTCTTTCTTACCTGAGGCCCCTATGTTTGACTTATCTTCAGGAATGAGATGCTTCTCCTTACTTAAATCTTCAACTAAAAGTCTGTCAAAATGCTCAATGCACAGCCTGCTGTCGATCTGGTAGAGCAGTGCGGGGCACAGGTAGGTGAACAGTGTCGGTGAGATGGGGGTGTTGGCCCCATGCCCAAAGTGTTTCAGCAGCTGAGTGCCATTCAAACACTGCAAGGAGATCACAGCACAGCTGGTAAGAGAAGGTCTTCAAGGTTATGCAAAAGATATACACGAATCAGTGCATAATGAAACTAGTCTAAATGTTACTGGAAAATAATGTGCAACATACAGGAATGTAACACAAATAAAGACTTTTTACAGGCACTTAGGATACATTCAACTACAAAAGTCTCAAGACTTTCTATGGATTTTAATCATTTTTTCCACACATAAAAGATAATGATTCATAACTACAGCCCTAAGATTCTATGAGGAGAAAAATAATTTCCCTACCAAACTGCAATCATCGATGACTCCAAATTAGCAACACAGACATTTTCACTGGCAAAGGCGCTCACAACCTGAGCACCTGCCCAGCATGCACAAGATCCTGGGTTCGATCCCAGCATGACAACCACAAAACCCATTAAGAAAAAACAGATGAATACAGTATTGGGGAACTTCAGCCCAAAGCAATTGAGGGAGACTAAACTGGAAGACAAAAAAGGCAGGTTCATCCTCTGGTACTTTCAAAATAAATGAGGATTTAGCTCAGTGGTTCCGGCGCCTGCCTCGCAAGCACAAGGTCCCGAGTTCGATCCCTGGTACCAAAAATAAATAAATAAATAAATAAATAAATAAACTAGAGGCTTAAATTAAATGGCAGAAGTGGAGCCGAGGAGGATTACTGACAGCGACGGCAAGGGTGGCCTGGCCCCTTCCACACACATCCCGCCTGCACGCTTGTTTACTGATGCGCATCCCGCAGCTGCATCTGTCTATGGCCCAAAACTGAAACAAACCAACAAAACCACTAAACCGCAGAAACAAACTCAAAACCTACAAAGATACATGATTCTTCTTAGGTCTTAATGACCATGCCGGACCCCCTCAGTGCGCTCCTAAGAGCATTTCTGCACTGTCAAACTCGCAGGGCTGCTGAGCAGGCGTCTGATCCAGGTGTCAGGCCCCGCACACGTGAACCCGGACAGCAGGAGCTTGTTACTGCAGCAGAGGGCCCTGGGGAAGCACCCAAGTAACACATGCACACCTGAAATCACACGAAGATCTGAGGTATTTTTAAATCCATGTTCATAACTGCTAAAAAACAGTATTTGATAACTTACCCAGAGAAGAAATACAATACTGTTTACTCAGATGGTGACAGTGACAGAAACAGCAAAAGGTAAGGTCATTTTCCACAGTTGATGTTGCTGCTCTCTAGTCACACAAACAAAACACACTCAACACATTTCCCTGAACTTTAATAAAATGTTAAAAATCAGAATAAACAAGTGTGTTGGCATACCTTTAATGAGACAAAAATTAGCGTGCTTAAGGTAGTTTTTAAAAATTGAGGAGGAGCAATGAAATGTGCAAAGTGTGCAGGAGTATAACACTCAGAAGGTGCCAGGACCTCCTCACTGCCCAGGAGTTTGGTCTGACACACGTCCTAGTTCACCCATGTCTGTCAAAGACCTGGGAAAAGACCTCGCTCCTGGCTACATGGCTTTTTCATCGAGCAACAGAGAAGACAAGCCCATCACATGTACCAAACTCCTGGCTGTGGCGTTAGAACCATGACGGAACCACTCAAGGGCTAATCTGATAACAGCAATCATGAAAAATAAAGTCTTCTAGGTCCTCCTCAGGAGGACAGGTTGAATAACAAACAGTGCTCATTTTTAAGTATCTAGAAACCAGCTGATGGTAACAGTGAAAACCGGTCAATTCGTATGACCACGATAAAATGAAGAGCTAAAATAAGGAAGGTTTTGTTTGGTTTGGTTTGGTTTCTGTTTTTTGAGACCGGGTCTTGCTATGTGTCCCCAGCTGGCCTCAAACTCATGGCGATTCTCCTGCCTCGGCCTTCCAAGTGCTGGGATCACAGGCATGCGCCATGATGCCTGGCAGGAATGTATTTTCTAACTATGTGTAAACACACAGATTGAGGAACCCCAGACTTGAGAAGAAAAGGAATACAAGTCACACAGACTGGGATTACTTAACACTCTGTCAGGGATCTTCCCTGATGGTCCCTATGGAAACATTCGAAGCAAGCTAAAATATGCCAGACTATCCCGGTGGCAATCTCTGTCTTTACCCAAAACGTTACAGGACTACTGCAGACCACAGAGTGACCATGGGCTGTTCGACGTAAACTCACCTCGTGGTGGTGGTCATCCTCACCGTGATCTTTGTGACTAGCAGCTGAATACATTGCACTTTTTTTGACGTGTGGTGCTTCTCGCTTCCGGGCGTGCCGAAGCTCTCCTTCGTCCTCAGACGCCCGGTCCTGATGCCCGTGACCAGGGTCGTGCCCGTTGTGGTCCGGGTGAATGTGAGAATGGCCAGGGTTATGCGCGCGATCGGGCTTGTGCACCCGATTATGCTCATAGGGTTCTCCCTGGGCATGGGCAGGGGGCAGGCCTGGCGTGATGACCTCAGAGTTCTCGTTATTTTTCTTCCCTTTGTCCTTCCGTCCTCTCCGGGGCTTGAGTTCCGCCTGCTCCTGTGTCTTATTTGTCTCTGTGGCTGGCACGCGGCTGGGCTCCCCAGGCTGCCCGCGGGGGGCAGAGCCGTTGTGGATGTGGCTGGCGCCGCTGTGGTCCAGGTGCTGGTGCAGGCGGTGAGGGTGAGGGCGTGGGCGGGGGCCGTGGTCGTGCGTGTGCTTGTCCTCCGACTTTGCAGGCGCTCCGAGGGCCTCCTTCATGGGGTCACACTTGTGACTCCTCCTCGCCGGCAGGGTGCGCGCAGTCTGGTTCTCCGGGCTGGCGGGCTCGTGGGCATGCTGGTGGCTGTGGGAGTGGGAGTGCCTGCCCTCCTGGACGGCCAGCATGTCCAGGTGAGAGACGTGGTCGTGGCCCAGATCCTCGTGGCTGATCTCCACTACCTTTATCTCTCCCAGGCCCAAGTTTGTTAAAAGTTTCTCCAGGCCGAAAAAGGATAATCTTCCATTTTCGCCATAACGATCAAAGAGTCTCTCAATATAGTATCTCTGCTCGTTCTCGGCGTCCTGCACAGAGAACTTGCTGGGCTCCGGCTCTGTCATCCCGCGGTGGTGTCTGTGCAGCTCCTCTGGGCCATGGTCATGCTCTTCATGGCAGTGGTTGCAGTGGTGGAAGACAAACGTCAGCAGGCAGATGAGGCAGAACTTCGTGTGCATGTGTACCTTCATTTCTGCTGCTCCTGCAGATTCAGAGAGACAAGCTTTAGTCTACGTAGACCTGAGCACGCTCAAGGTATTCACAAACTCCCCGGCAGTGACCAGTCTACTAGGGAAATGCCTTACCCTGTCCTTCACGGTTATAAATCACTTTCCCTCTCCAATTCCCTGTAAACCAGTCCTTTTTAGCTGGGTGTGGCGGGGCACACCTGTAGTCCCAGTGACTGGGGATGAGGCAGGAACATTGAGAGTTTGGAGCCAGGGAAAACTTAGTAAAACCCTGTCTCAAAATAAAAACAAAATGGTACGGGATGTAACTAAGCACTTGTGTTCCTCCCCCAGTTCTGTCAAAAGGGAGGGCTGAGGTTTTAACAAACTGTACGTAACAGTGTACAGCCCTTCAAATTAACCAACACACATCGCTCAGCACTCAAAGCCTACCGTGACCCTAAGTAACACACCAAAGTCTATGTCCACTCGTTTAAGCAGGGATTACTGGCTGCATTTCTATCTGGTCCTTCATAGTTTGCTGATCTCTGCACACGGAGCAACTAACTGGTCAGGAAAATAAAGCAAAAAGATGTTACAATGACAAAATGAGTAAGAATCAGAAAAACTGTCATTACTCATAAGTGGCAGAATGTGATATGCAGAAAATCTAAGACTCTCTAAGGTTAATTTTGTACTACTGTTACATATGAGAACAACAGTCTAAATCAGTTCTTTTTTTTTTTTTTTGGTACCAGGGATCAAACTTGGGACCTTGTGCTTGCAAGGCAGGCAGCAGAACCACTGAGCTAAATCCCCGGCCCTCAGTTCTATTTTTATACACCAGAAAAAGTAAGAGAAGAGATGATGAACAGCACCACTTATAACAGCAAACAGAAAGGAAGAGGCCTAACCACAGATGTACAAGACCTTTCCACAGAAAAGCACCATGTTAAAGCCCTAAATAGATGGCTATATCATCTTCATGACTAGATGAACCACAGATCCAAAACAATCCCAAGCAAAGTCTTAGAAGTATTCTATGAAAACTGGTGAGCTACTTTTAATATTTATGTGGAAACCAGAAAGGGTCAATGATGGCCCAGACGCTCCTGAGGAAGAGATGGACCGAGCACTTGCCCTACCACTGATCAAAGACTGCATTATTTAGCACATGAACAAATGGGCCAAAGGAATAAAATAAGACTCTAAAAGCAGGAAAGGCATCCTTTTCCTTGCTGCTTGGTCAATTAGATTTCCATGTAGAAGAAAAATAAAACTTGCCTCCTACGAAAAATCCATTATATGTAAACCGTCAACCTAAATCTGAGATAATAAATATTAAAACAAGAACTGTGCTGTCCAATGTAGTAGTCACTAGCAATATATGGGGATTTAACTCTGAATCAACCAAAATTAAATGAAAAATTCAGCCTTGAGGTTCCCTTAGCTACATTTTAAATGTTCAATATCCACATATAACTAATGATTACCATCTTGGATTGCAGATTATGGAAGATGTCTTCTATTACAGAAAGTTGAGGCCAGGACACTTCCAGAATTCAAAAATATAGAGTTAGCAAATTATGTAATTCTTAAGCTTTCTAGAAGAAGTGAAATTAACCTTATATCATGGTCTAGTTAACCCTTTATAGCTGAAATTTATTAGCAAGATATTTTACATTCTTTTAATGCTATGATCTTTAAATAGACATTTATTTGGCAGTTACCACAACTCAGACTCACTACATCTCAGCTGCCCAATAGCCATATGTGGTTCCTGACCTCTGTTAGGATTCAGATTTAGATTTATTTGGGGAACTAACTTTAAGACCTTTAAGATAGGATACAGCTAGTATAGTGATCCACACCTACTTTAGAGGTTGAGGCAGTGAGTTCACAAGTACAAACCCAGTTTGGGCAACTTAGCAAGACCCTGTAACAAAATAAAATTTTCAAAATGGGCTGGACATGTAGCTCAGTGATAGGGTGCTTGCCTAGAATGCACAATCCCCAGTACTGCAAAGTAAATGAATGAACGAACAAACCAAGAAGGCAAGGCATGGGTTGAGAGAAAACTATCACAATGTACAATCAAGAATTTTTAAGGAACTCCTACAATCAATATAAAAATTATGGAACAACCCAACAGAGAATCTTGAAGTGCCCCATAAGAGTAGCTAAATTACTGAGAAGTACATGAAGAGTTGCTTGATCTCAGTCATTAGGGAAATTTAAATTAAAATCCAAATCAGATACTCCAACAAACTCAGCAAAAGACTAAAATATAAGACTTCCAATAACAAAAGTAGGCGAGGATGTGGAGTTATCTGAAACTCGCATACACTGTGACAGTGGAGTGTGGACTCCTTCAGGAAAACTGTCAGGAAGTGGCAAAAGCTGAACTAAGTACATCCACCCACACAGTGATTCCACTCCTGAGCGACATATGTGGACACCAGAAGACATCAACATGAATGTTTCTAAGGTCACTACTCATCAGCCCCAGAACTGGAAAGAAAACCTAACCACTTACCAACAGCAGAAGGAGTGCACGAGACACAACCTCGCAGTGGAACACCACATAGGAAGGAAAATGCAACACACAGGCATAGGTGAGTCTCACAGTCATTAGATGGAGTAAAAGATGACAGACATCAAAGAAAGCCACATATACGAGGATACTTAAGGTTAAAAATAAGCAAAACTAGGCCAAGATAATGGCTACTTTTTGAAAAGGTAGGCGATAATAACTGGGAAGAGACAATACTCCAGGGATTGAAAGTGCGGTGATGCTCTTTCTTGAGTCGTCGTTACATAATGTGAATTTTGGAGACAACTTCTGACACTGTGCTCTGTCAACTTCCTGAACACATCATGTTCAGCTTTTAAAAGGTCTTTTTTTTTAAGTTCTGGAGATTGAATCCAGGGCCATAAGCATGTCAAGGACATATTCTACCACTGAGCTACACTATATCCCCAGTGCTAAAAGCTTAGCAAAAAATCAAATTTTCCGGCCAGAGATTTAGCTCAGTGGTTCTGTCACCTGCCTCGCAAGCAGAAGGTCCTGAGTTCCTGAGTTCGATCCCCAATACCAAAAGAAAAAGAAGAAGGAAAAAAAAAAAACAGATTTTCCCCAGTGAAAACCAATTAGAAAATGTAATCACATACAAAATTATATGATTCCTTGAAATAATCAGAGTAAGAGAATGAGGCATACAAAATCCACTAAAAGCAAAATTTTGTAAGACATTATTGAAACACAATAAAGTACAAAAGCTATATACAATTTTGGGGTGTGGGGGGGTACCAGGGATAGAACTCAGAACCTTACGAATGTGAGGCAGGCCACTGAGCTAAATCCCCAGCCCAATATATACAAATTTAATTCAAGGCCAATCGACAACCTGGCAGCTTGGTAGCTGGTTGTTTTGTTTTGTTTTCTGTGTGACCCCTTAAGCAAAAGTTCTTATGAAAAAACAAATTAACAAGTACAATCAAGAAAATCCAGATTAGTAAGATTAACAAACTTCTCTTTATGAAGTTAGACTAACTAAAATAACAGAATTGGCACAGGGCCAGAAAACAATGCCCTTAGAGCAGAGCAGCATTCAGAGTAAATCACTAGCGCAGACTGTGAAACAACTCTTCTTCAGAGTCGACCACAAAAGGAAGACCTGTGTCAGAAGCCAAACCCTCAACAAACTTTAGAAAAAAGCAGAGGAGAGTGTCACTATGACCTGGATGAGAGAAAGACTTTCTAAACAAGACAGAACACAATGCTAAAAGAAAAAATTTGATTTAACTAAATTCTTTAAAAATTACAATAAATACCATAAACAAAGCTTATGACAGGCCATATACTAGAAGATAATTTGTAATGTATGTATGTATATAAACAATGCATTTAAAAGATCAGTTTCAAAATATACAGAATGTTCACAGTAAGGAAAAAACTGTAACATTACACTAGACAAAAGATACACACGGGTGGGCTAATGAAAAAATATTGTACGTGCTCAAATAGTAATAAAAAAATTAAAGTAGTATATTGCCATTAATTCCTTCAAAAAACTCCCTCTTTCTTCAAACACACGTATCCCACCACTGGAGCCACTTTCTGGGGCAGTTCTGAAGTCCTTACAGTGGACACTCCGCCCAGTTTACTGGCAGGCTCTCGGTGCCATGAGCCCCTTGCTTCCCCACAATCCGGCGGCATCGTATCAGGAGTCTGATCAAGGCCTACGGGACTCACATGGGCACGTCGAACGGCAGAGCTGGGCCAGCACAGCTCCTCTGCCAAAGGCTGCCCAGGAGACTGAGTCCCGGTCTGTGGAGCTAACATCCAGCCGAGGTCACCGTGACCCCAACTAAATCCCATTCCCTGAGTTACAGCCTCCCTCACTGACCTGATGGGTAACTCGTTAACAACAACTCAGTCCTGGTCTCCATTTGTTTTCTCCTGCAAGAAAGCAGCGCCTCGTTTTACAGCCTTGCCTGTGATAACCGTATCGCCAGACGCAGGTGTCTCACTGTACCTGCCCTGCCTCTTCTCGCGCTTGTAATCAACAATACTGGGGTCTTGCGTGCCTTCTGTCTTTGTTGCCCAGAGCAGCATAGACCATCCCAGACCCCCTTTCTCTGAACGTCTCTTTTCTGTGTCTTTCTTTGGTTCTCTCTCACTTGCATTGTATTCCCTTGCAGGAGATTGAGACCCACAGCTGGGGTCCCTGGAAGGTCTCTCTCATGTCTTTACTAGGTGTGATCAAAAATATGCTGAACGCTTCTTACGAGCGCTATCCAACAGAAAGGCAGGCCTGTAAAACTCTGACACTGTGTTCTCATCCACCTTATTCAATGGAAAGTCAAAATGACCATGAAAATTAAACATTTTGAATTGATTCAGGCCATCGAGGAGGCCACGACAGTGCAACTAAAGGCCATCATAAACAGAAAAACTGGTTCCTAATCACCTAGGCAATGTAAATCAAGATCATGCTTCAAGACACAAACAGGAGCCACTGACAATACTGCC